TTTGTCCAAAATGACCTCCACAAGGCACCTTTGCAGGGTGAGGAAGTTCTTGTTCAGTGTCGACAAGCTCACTTGGCCCCACACTCACTGTCTGTGAGGTTCTTCTTCCGTTGGCCTCTGCGTATAAATGGAAATGACTGAATGAAGTGACCTGAAGTGGTTTGCCCACCAACCCTTTCAGGTGACTTCAAAGCGCGGGCAAATCTTGGCGCCAAGGATGCACCGGATACAACCGGATACAACCGCATTTATCGATATTATCCGGATAAAAAGGGGTTGTTACAAACAATTACATATTCGAAGCATTTTTAGTCTTGGTCATTGTATTGAGTGGAAATTGTTGAATTTCTATTTTTTGAATGAGTGAACCGTGTAGAGACTGTTTGATTATTACAGGCCACACCCTATTGATTCTCGTGATGCCCGTATTTTCTCCAAATTCACATTTTTTCGACAAAAAGACTGTCCTTTCCGCAAAACGAACTTTCGTACTGTTAATTGGACAGAGGTAGTATTTCACCGTACGGAGCAAATATGGAATAGTATGTACTATGACAATTTTGTGGTCTACGTGACATATACTAAGAGGATACTAGTAGAGAGTGGGAGATGTGGGAGAGCGAAAACGAGGGAGATCCTACTTTGGACTGAACTAGGAAAGAAGCGAAGAAAGTTCCCCAGCACACTGACATGGATGACGTCCTGATGCATTGCAGGCAGTGGAATTATCACTGGGAAAATTCCTCGTGTTTCCTCGAAGACGAACCGCATATCGCGACTGGTGTCCGTGGACGACACCACTGACACATTTGAACGCGCAACATGAGCTCCGTGCACTACGAACCTGACTCGGAGCTCGGGCCATCGTCGTCGCGCGTGATCGCGCCTGCTGGACCGCTACAGCCTCTTGTGATTGCTGGGCCTTCTGGTGTAGGCAAGGGTACACTAATCGCGCGCCTTCTCGCCAAGTACCCCGACTTGTTTGGGTTCTCTGTCAGCCACACGACTCGCAGTCCTCGACCAGGTATTGCAGCCATCGCATGAGCCGGTGAATTCAGGGGCCTTGCAGGCGAAGAGAACGGCATTGCGTACCACTTTGTGTCCAAGAACGTCTTCGACGAAGCTGTCGACGCGGATGCGTTCGTCGAGTATGCCCGCGTCCATGGCAACGGATACGGCACGAGCAAGAAGTCGGTGCAAGACGTTCAGGATGCCGGGAAGATCTGCGTCTTGGACATTGATATCCAAGGCGTGCAGCAAGTGAAACAGGCCAAGGACTTGAACGTCCACTATATGTTCGTGGCGCCACCGTCGATGGCCGACCTGGAAACCCGTCTTCGAGGCCGCGGCACTGAGTCCGAAGATAAGATTGCTCTGCGTCTGGCCAACGCAACGGGAGAACTCGCCTACGCTGACGAAGGCCACTTTGACAAGATTCTCGTCAACAACGACCTGGACGCGGCCTTTAAAGAACTGGAGCGTACGCTCGCCACGTGGTACCCCAACGTCAAGTTTGGTGACAGCGCCGTCGAAACCTCACTGGAAAAGTAATTCCTACCTTTCAACAAACCTGTGTGTAAGAGCTTGGAAAGGTTGGGGCAACATAGACTGGTGGTACAAGATGCTCCTGTCGAGCACTCGTCCTGGACGACTTGTGCCAGCGACTTGTCAGGACTGCTCTGGTATCGTAGCATAAGCGCTCGAATTGAATCAGACGAAGATACATCGAGGGTGGCGGAAACAAGGCATTTTCCAACCATTTATCATATTTGCAACAGTGGGAGGTGTTTTACGCCTGCAGCTTGGGGCCATCGAGTAGCTGATACACATATTCGTACACGGCAAAGATCAATGCTCCGGTGGGCAGGACTTTGATCAAGTTGGGGGTGAGCCCCTTGTAAAAGCCTCGCACCCCCTCGTGTCTAGGTACAAAGACACATGACCTTTGCGCCACCACATTGGGCCCTGTACCTCGCGATGCGCTTCGTGCAATCCCACGTTCCAGTGTACTTGTCTGCGGACGGCCCACCTGCGGGAGGTGCCGCGTCAAACACTGGCATCTGTGCACCTTGACCAAACAATAACGTGGTTGCATACCTTGCTGCAGCCGCGTCTTGATCACTTGGTACGGGTACGTGGCAGTCGACGCAAACGCCTGGGCAAGGGCTCCCATCACCAGCGTCTGGGGAATCGCCTGCATATATTGACCGTCAAGCGTTGCAATCAACGGAAGGCTTACGAGCGGGGCGCGGACGAGTTCGTTGTACTCGGTCTTGAGCCACTCGTACGCGACAAACTATTCGGTGGTTGCATGGATGAGCAAGATGGAGGTAGGAGAGGTGAGAACCTTGAAGGCGCCGTGTGTGGTCAAAAATAGAGCAGGCACAACGCCTTTATACAGCGCGGAGATGCCCTCTTCCACCGCGATGCGCTGCAGAGCGTTCGCCATGTTTTTGTAAGGCACCTGCGATGGGTGGGTGGCTTGCACTTGCATGCGGACCTTGACAAGCCAGATTGGGTTGGTCAGGGGCACGCACATGGCGCCTACGGCGACACGCTGATGCGCCGTTCGTGTGCATGACAACCTCCCCGTACCTGCTTGGATACCCGACGCAAAGTGGCCGACCCACGGAGGCAAGATCGTTTGGTCAGCATAAAACGATTTGGCGTGCTCGTAAAAGAAAAAGTAGAGCCCCCACGACAGCGTCGTCCCATACAGAGCGGGGCTCATGCCTTGGTACAGCGCTCGAAAGTTGTAGCGCCCGGTCACGTCCGTCTTGACGATCGATACGAACGCTTGGCCCAACGACCGGAACGCCTTGGGCGAGTTCTCATGGATTTGATACCGTGTCTTCACGAGGTCCAGCGGGTACAAGATGGCCGTGCTGATACCGCCCGCGGCAATGCCGGCAAAGCTGTGCTTGACCAGCGACTTTGGCGCCGAGCCCTTGTCTGCCATCTTCGACTTGTGTTGGCCGACGACTCCAACTCGTTGATGCAACTCACCTCGGTTTCGATTGGCTGCAGATTTCACGCGTTTGATTGGTCCATGCATTTTTTCCAATTTGAAATATATAACGAAATATAGTCGAAAATACTATGATATTCGTCACAAAATTATCTATCATTAGAGAGCTTTCGGTCGGCTAAATTACAGATTAGATTCAAGATCCGAAACCTGAAGTTTAAACCTGAAGACACAAATTTCGGTGTTGATTTTTGGCTTCAGATTGAGCCAAAGTCAAAATAAAATCGTCTTTCGGGACCAACCAAACTTCAGGTTTCACTTCCGGAAAAGCGCAGATAAACAAAGCGAGTGCTCTGTGCCACTCAATGCCGTCTCTATCGCCGACCTTGACCAAGCGCTCTACATTACTTCTCATTGCTCGTATCATGGAGCAGTTTAATGGTGACATTGATGAGTTCATGTCCATTTTAAACAAATTAATTCAACGCAACATCATTCGACCTAGACCAGAGCGACCATTGCTTTCGTCCAACAACTCATTCAATAGATTGCTCGATAATGCGACGGCGATGCACAAGTACCGTTTCACCATACCGCAATTGGAAACCCTTTGCAACCTTTTCGGTCTCCCCGAGTGGATAACAACAGAGTGGTCCGATCGAATTGAGTCGCTTGAGGCACTCGCATTGACTTGCCTCCGCCTTGCTGAACCATCACGACTATTCACAGTGGCAAATGAGTTTGGGCGTTCTGTCGAGGCGTGCAGTCGTGTGATATTGACAACTGTTCGCTTACTACATTCCAAGTTTGCGGACCGCTTGTACTTCGACGATGCTTTAAAGACGCGGCGCTCAGGTATTTGTTTGTACAAGGTATTTTAAAGTGTACGTATACAAATTCTAAATGATACATTGGCTTAATGCCCTATTTAGAAATGAATTACATTAAAATTACACATTTGACCAACACTCAGCGTGAAATTCATGTGACGTTTCCTTAACTTGAGCAAATTGACATATATAACCTAAATTGTCCTGGTTTAACTTGTGAAATACCCTACATAAACAGTGCTGTAATGATTCTTGACTTCTATTTCGGGATAAATGTGAGTGATGATCGAAGCAGCATTTTTATTCAATACGTTTAGCGATTGCGCTGATCAATTCCATCATCATGCGCTGATTAGCGTGGTGTTGTTCGGTACGATTGGCAGCTTGTTCGCGATCAAACTCTAATCTTGCTGCTGATTGCTCAGTAATGAGCTCTTCTCGGCGGCGCTTGTCATCAATTCCTGCTTGAATTGCATGAATGAGGTTGTTCATGTCGATCGATGGTGCAGTAGCTTTACGTTTCTTCCGTTTTTGTGTGCCAGCCTCTTCATGGCTGCTGCGTTCAAGCTCTCCCAATGCCATTTTCCGCAACAACGTACCCGAGTTTTCGATCCCTTCCAGTTTTCGTCGGCATACATCTTTTCGAATTGTTTCAGAGGCCTTGAAATCGTCCATACGCGTCTTGATATCCTGCATCAATTGCTCTCCCTCCTCGTACTCTTCTGCTGTACCCGACTTCCGCAACGACGCGCTTTCACCGCGCACAAACCGAGACATGAGAACGTCAAACCTTGTCTTAATCGCGGGGCCCGTTTTCTTGAGACCAAAAGTTGCAGACTGTCCAAGCGCATCAGCGATGGCGGACCAAGCCTGCAACTGCTTGCCGTGGTCGGCCTCCCAGCGACTCGCGAAAGTGATCTGCAGCAGTAGCTTGATGTCATGATGGCATGCGAATTTGCGGTTCCCACTGGTCTCGTTAGGATGGAGCTCCGCAATGTCTGGAGTGCAGATGGGTGGTGTTGACATGACTTTGCCAACTGAATGGTTGTGTATGCTGGTGTGACATGACTTTGCCAACTGAATGGCTGTGTGTGCTGGTGTGATATCCGTACCATTGTCTGGTTCTTGAATCTAAACCTTGAGTTCCAAACCTTGAGATTGGGGCCACCAATCTCAGTCGACTCATAGATTGGCACAAAGTTGGAGAATGGATTTGTAGAGAATTATTGTAGATTCAGCCCAAAATCGAAATTTCATGAAAATTGTACAAAACAGGATCCAACTCACGTCCAATCGCATTGCAGCACTTGTAGTGTCCATTCCTCATGTTCCAAGGAATAGTGCTCCAGAACCACGCGTCAGCCGACACCAGGATTCACTGCCTGTATGGACACTTCATGTTGGGCTTGTCGTATGGCAAAACACCATCGACCATATCGCGTTGGATTAAGCAGTACACTCATAATGGGTCGGCTGACAGGTTGGAAACGTCCGCCAAGTTCCGGAAGTTCGACACTGCCAAACGAGAATGGATCCTTCAGCTTTATCGCCAGGAGCCCTTGCTCTATCTGGGAGAAGCAGCAGCGCGGTTCATGTGTGGTGCCGCCGTTGTGTACACGAGCTGTTTGAACTCGTCGATGTTCGTTATTCGAACGTCCACGGGATCCAATTGTGTGCCTGAGGACTGGCCACGAAAGTTGCGTACGTTAGGAAC